GCGCTTGGTATAGTTGAGGACTAGACCCGCCTTCTTGCCGATGCGTTTCCGGTGAAGGGTGCTTCGGGCTTCGGGACCCTAGAGAGTCCTTAAGCTATATCGAAACTCCGACCGAAACTGTAACTCCTAGAAGCTCTTTGCAACTTTACTTTAGATGGAGGCCTTGGGGGGATTGGGTTTCGGTTTAGTGTTTAGCGTTTAGGTTACGACGCTGGATACTGTAGGCATCTGGGTTGGGGGGAGGCGGGGGGGAGTCATGGAAGTGGATTTTGCTTTATCAGGAATTAAGGGGGGTTGTGAATCCAGGCTTTACAGTTTGTTCACCGCGGGCTTTGGATGCTTGAGGGGGCTCGTGGTTGTTTCGGGGCTGAGCTTTCAATTATTTCTTGTCCCAAACATGCCCCAGCATCTTCATAGCAGGGCCCTTCGCATGTTACAAACATGGGTCAAAAACCCTGAACCCTAAACCCTGAATTTTAACATGGTTACCAGGCTACCAAGATACCCATAGCATCAGCCTGGCCCATTGGGGCCTCTGCTAGAGCATAAACCCTAAACCCTTAACCCTGGATGTTATTTCTTCGGATACCAACAAGCCAAGGGTCCAGATTCTCCAAATAGGCCGAAACCCTAAACCCTGAACCCTAAACCCTCCAAGCCAAAAACACCATGAGAAGGGGCCACTCTTTGTAGGTCAGGGTTGTCCTGTGAGGCCAGTTTAGTCTTCGGGCTTTGCAGGGTTCAGGCTTGGGTGTGTGTCGCCTAAGCCCCAAGCGCCTCAAGGTTACCACTATGTGCTTAAGAACACCCTCTCCCCCCCCAAAAAAAAAAATAAATAAATAGATAAATATATATATATATATATACAAAAACTATTCTAAGGGCAATGCAGGGATTATTATGCTTTAGTTTTTGAGTGGTTCTTAATCAAATAAACTAGCGTAGGGTGTGAAAAAGAGAAGAGTTGAGATGTTCCCCCTTGTACTAACAGTCCTTAATTCCTTAATCGGTATTATAGTAGGAGGTACTGCAATCCCTATTAACCCTGAACCCCAAACCCTAACCCCTAAACCCTAAACCCTATTAACGACTGTTAGTACAACAGGGAAGATCCCGAGTTCTAGGAGTTCTAGGGCGAGGGCTAAGGGGCTACATGCGCCGCGGACGCCCCGCTTCTTGTTCCAAAGATCACTCCGTTTCGGGTTCAGGGTTTAGGGTTTTGGGTTCAGGGTGTAGGGTTGAGGGTGTAGGTTTAGGGTTTAGGGTTTAGGGTTTAGGGTTTAGGGTTTAGGGTTTAGGGTTCAGGGTTTAGGGTTTAGGGTTCCTTGAGCCCCCAACTCCCACTGTGCCGTTGTTCAATGGTCCCTAACACCAAAACCCTCAACAGCCTCAACCCGAAGACCCCAGTGTTTAGGGTTTAGGGTTTAGGGTTTAGGTTTAGGGTTTAGGGTTTAGGGTTTAGGGTTTAGGGTTTAGGGTTTAGGGTTTAGGGTTTAGGGTTTAGGGTTTAGGGTTTAGGGTTTAGGGTTTAGGGTTTAGGGTTTAGGGTTTAAGGTTCCCAAGACCCCGGAACCCACAAGCCTTAGAGCCATACACGCCCTAAGACACCAAACCCTAAATCCTGAACCCTTGCAGACAAGAGCCTTGCCCGCCGTTGAGGGTTTCGGGTTTAGGAGACCCTAAACCCTAAGCCCTAAACCCCAAACCCCAAACCCGCGCATGCTCGTTTGCAACCCAGGACAGCTTTGCAAGCCTCCAGGACATCCTATGAGCCAATGAGCGCTAAAGCCCTACTTGTCCGAATGCCCCGATAGCCACGAAAAAACCCTCAGCCGCGAATCCCCAAACCCCTAAGCCTCGTACCTAAGCCCCCTAAACCCCTGAATGCTAAGCCCTGAACCCTACAAACCCAGAACCCTTTAACCCTAAACCCTAAACCCTAAACCCTAAACCCTAACAAAGAAAGCCATGGTGCGGGCCGCGGCGCTGGGACGCCGGGTCCTGCGGCGCCTCGAGGTCTGTTGGGGGTTTTAAGATGTGTGTATATATGTATATATGTATGTATATATATATGTATGTATATATATATATATGTATATCTATATGTATATATATATGTATGTATATATATATATAGAGAGAGAGTATAGAGGGTCTATATAGAGTGTATATAGGGTTTATAGGGTATAGGTTTATAGGGTTTAGGGTGTTTATTTAGGGCAGGGTCTGTAGCTCATGTAGGGTTTGTAGCGTTTAGGGTGTTTAGGGTATTCAGTATTCAGGCTGTAGAGTGTATAGGATTTATGGGGTGTTAGGTTGTGCAGGGTGTGGAACCCTAAACCCAGCTTTGCTGGGCTGGTAGTGCTCTCGGCGGGTTTGGGGTTGCGGGCTTCTGTGGTTCCGTCGTTCCTTCGGGGGTTTCGAGTCGGGATGTTCCCCCTCATACTAACAGTCCTTCTACTAAAGGTAGTATAAGGGGGAACATCCCAAGTTTCGAGGCAAGAAAGCTTGAGGGGCTTCTGCGGCAGGCTCGGGATTGCCAAGGTGCTTTCCAGGGTTGAGGTTTAGGGTGAGGGGCTTTTAGCAAACCGCTGAACCTGAAAATGTGCATTTCTAAGTGAAGGGGTCGGGGCAGTGATTTTGTCAGGTTGATGCGTGCAGTGTGCCTTCTTGATTCAAGGTTTCCAGATTTAATCCATCCGGCTCAGGTCGGCGTGCTGGCGAGGGGAAGTGCGCGAAGGCACACTGTTCTGTAAGCCCCTTGCACGACAGAAATCTGACGCACCTGGGCATGCATACCTACCTCGCGGGTTGAAGACATTCGGCGTGCACATCACGCAGCCACGTGTTTGCTTGTGTGTGTGTGTGTGTCGTACGGTATCTCCCAAGCCCAAAACCAGACAGACGTGACACCAGCAGGGCAGCAGGAACTGCGCTTTAGCTCCACCATCCTTGCAGACAGTCCAGTAGTCTGTCTTGTGCAACGTGCGTCAAAGAAGATTAGTTCGGATCCCAACACCCAATCGGTTGCACAAATCCGTTTGGAGAGCAGCACAGGACAGCATGTAGGATGGCTTTCCTCGCATGGTCTTACGTCACGGAGACCTTGCAACACCTAAGTCTTTCCAGCTGATCGGTCCACTGCAAAGATACCCGGAACCGGTTCAGGGTTTCTTGGTAGCTGAATGAGTACACTTTACACTTTTGGCGATACTGTAACCCCCTATAGAACTGAAAATCTACCCTTTTGGGGGGCTTGTGAACTCAGCAACTAAGGTTTGCAAGCTAGACCCCAAAAGTCACGCAACAAAAGCCCGAAACCCTCCCTACGCCCATCCTGGAGCCTTCCCTCCCGCCCCCGTCTAGTCACAACAATATGGGCCTCCCACCCCCAGAAAAGAGGGTACAAGGAGGAGTTCTGGGTGCTTTGTGGGTCAAAGCGCGGAACAACCCTATAAAGCTCAACTCTATACTCCTGAGCAGGTGGCAAAGGGCCCTCCCCGTGCTTGCTGACGATACTATACACTTTAAGGGTTGAACCTACCCCCCACAGGTTTCCCAGCCCTAAACCCTAAACCCTAAACCCTAAACCCTAAACCCTAAACCCTAAACCCTAAACCCTAAACCCCACTCTACTCGCAGCTGTGGTGGCGTCCCGGCGCCGCAGCGGCGTTGGCGCTTCGGCACCGTGGCCGTGGGCGCGGGCGCCTCGGCGCTGGTCTTAGCTTGGGCGCCTCGGGCCGCACGAGGGGTTTAGGGTTTAGGGTTTGGGGTTTGGGGTTTAGGGTTTGGGGTCTAGGGTTAAGGGGTGGTTCTATGGGCAGTTCGCGAATACAACGCGGAGTTTCTATAAATCAACAGAAATATAGATACAAGGAAAGAAGTGCACATATGTGTGTATGTATATATGTAGGTGGCAATAGGTGTAGGGTGGAGGGTTGACGAGTTCATGGTTTAACGTTGGACCTGCTTTAGTGTGCGCCCCTCCCCCCCACCCCGAACAGTCGAAGCTGGCTTTTGCTCTCTTCAAGCGGTCCGCCGGGCTGACAATTAGGGTTTATAAGGTTTAGGTTTTAGGGGGGTTTAAAAGGGAAGATATGAGTTTAAAATGGACAGCGAGGCCCGGCGCTTTCTACCGACAGCCGGACGATTTGCCTTAATTGCGGACCTGCTTTGGACCCCCAAACAGTCGAATAGCCCGGCATTGACTTTATAGAGGACAGTACTTGATGCTTCATGGGTCCTGGCTGGTTCTGCCTAAGTAGGGTTTGAGGTACCGGGGAAGATACATATGTGCATATATGTACGTATATGTTTATTCAATTGCGTTGTTAGTAGGCCACCTTACTACTTCAGCCTCAATACCCATCGCCATGAACCGTCGAGGGGTTGAGGAGTGTGGGCTTGCATTTTTGCATGCCTTCCAGCGGCATCCTTACCGCGCACATTTCATCATCATCATCATCATCATCATCATCATCATCATCATCATCATCATCATGAAGCCCTAAAAACCCTTCTCCTCTTTGCTGCAGGCCAGCCGAAAGTACCTGGACCACCTCCGCGTGCAGGACTTACAAGCATCCGCCTCGGCCTCAGGGGGTAAGCCGGGTTCTGTGGCTGGGTGGGGGGGGGGGGGGGGGAAGGGCACCAAAACCCTCAACCCCAAAACCCCTAAACCCTAAACCCTCACGCAGGATTCCGTTCAGCAGATTTAGGTGATTTAGGGTTAGTGTTGAGGGTTTTTTTGGGGATCATGGGGAGCTTACCCTCCTTCGCCGGCCCCCCCGGAGTTCTAGGAACCTCGGGCTTAACAAACCCTTTTTAGTTAGGACCCAGAGTAGGCCCTTGTGTATGTAGGGTTTAAAGTTAAACCCGAAACCCTAAACCTAAAACCCTAAACCCTAAACCCTAAACCCTTAACCCTTAACCCTTAACCCTTAACCCTTAAACCCTAAACCCTAAACCCTAGCCCTAAACCCTAAACCCTAAGGTGCATCATGGCAACAACTCCGCGCGCCTGGCGAGCGCCAGGCGTCAACTTGACGACGAGGGCGGGGTGGCCCCCTGGCTGCTTTGGGATTCAGGGTTTAGGGTTTAGGGTTTAGGGTTTAGGGTTTAGGGTTAAACCGAAAACCCTAACGCCAAGAGTCTGAGTGCAGGTACAGGGTTTGGGGGTTGGTTTGGAAACTTCAGTATCCCTAAACCCTAAAGCCATTAAGGTTGTTTGGGGTTGCGGTGGAGGGCTTTAAGGGCTCACTGCGCGCTTTGAAAGCCAGTTGGGGCAAAGGGGACCCCGGATCCGGTGTTTAAGGCCTTAAGTGTAGGGTTTAGGGTTTAGGGTTTAGGGGTTAGGGGTTAGGGGTTAGGGGTTTAGGGTTTACGGTTTAGGGTGTAGGGTTTAGGGTTTAGGGTTGACCGGCGTTTGGGGTCTTAGGTGCAAGGGTGTTTGTGGGGTTGTGTTCCTCGTCTTGCGGGGGAAATGCAGCCAGCTTGTGATACTTGAACAGGAAGGCGTAGGGCTGCGAAAAAGGGTTAGGGTTGAGGGTTTAGGGTTTAGGGTTGAGGGTTTAGGGTTCAGGGTTCAGGGTTTAGGGTTTAGGGTGCAATCATTGCCTAGTTTGGGACCTTGCGGTGATTTTTATTTCCCCTCATTCGCATGTAGGAGGCCATTTGGTTTTCATGTGTGGAGTTTGTTGTTGTGGAGGTCTTTTCAGGGGGTTGCAAGGGCCGTTAAGCAGCAGTTCCCGGCCAAATGGTGCTGGAGCGTTGGGTTCGGGTTTTCTTTTCCATAGTTTCTCAACCGTATAAACCCTGCACATTATAATCTCCTGAACAATTCTCCCTAAACCCTAAACCCTAACCCCTAAACTCGAAGAGGGCGGTTTAGGTCTCAGGGAACCCTTATGCGGGCGTCAGGTCGTCAGTTTTACGGCCGCCGACGGCCAGCAGAGCACCATGGTGGTGGACAAAGGCCCCCTAAACCCTAAACCCTAAACCCCATGACAAAGGCCCGTTGTAAGAAGACTGTCCAGTGCCCTGAGCTGGCCCGCAAGCTTCCCGGAACTCAAGTTTGAAATGCTAAACCATGCAGCCATGCTAGCCCCTAGCCTGCCACCTCACTTTCCCACACCTTTGGCAGCTCCAAGACCAAAACCTTCAAATGCTTTTGAATGCTTTTGAAATTTCGCTAAACCCAACCCTAAACCCTAAACCCTAAACCCTAAACCCTAAACCCTAAACCCTAAACCCTAAACCCTAAACCCTAAACCCTAAACCCTAAACCCTAAACCCTACCCCGGGTTGGCAGCGTGGGCTTCGCACCCCCCAAAAGCCTTACCACTGGTTAGTAGGGAATGAGGGAATGAGGTACCCCATATAATCCCTTAAAGGGTATATACCCTAAACTTGCCCTAAACCCTAAACCCTAAACCCTAAACCCTAAACCTCCCAAAAGCAGGGGAGCTTGCCTCGGCCACCACGCGGCGAGCCGAGGCCTCTGAAGAGTGGGCTTTGGGGTTTACGAGAGCCTTATGGTCTTGGGCTGGGGCTTAGGGTTGAGGGTTCAGGGTTGAGGGTTTAGGGTTTAGGGTTTAGGGTTAGTGTTTGGCCTTTAGGGTTAGGGTTTAGGCTTTCGGGATTAGGCTTTTGGAGTTCAGGGGTTTAGGTTTAGCGGTCAGGGCGTTTGATTTGCATCACCTGCCAGTACCTTGATGTGGAAGTAGTAATTGCTTGGTAGGCCATTGGGATATTTAGATGTACCTGTACGCTCGGTGTAGGAGGACCTTATGCAGGAATCCTTTTTCAGAGGGTTTTTGGGACCAACCTGTTTTAGGGTTCAGGGTATACTTGGAGGTTCATGGCACTTGCTAACCATTGATGTCTGTACTTATAACCCACATATACGCCCCTTAACTTCCCTAATATGGTTTTCCGTACAGTTAGAAGTACAGTAATAGTTAGTGAATAAGTAGCACGAACCTCCAAGTAGGGTACTTATAGGGTTAGAGCCCCGCGAGCGCCCTGTTTCGGCATGCTTTGCAGGCATTGGCAGCCGCAGAGAAGTCGCTGCGCCAGGCGGCCGCGTGAGCAATCACAAGATAGTCTGAGTCCTTAGCCTTCAGGGTTTAGGGTTTAGGGTTTAGGGTTTAGGGTTTAGGGTTTAGGGTTTAGGGTTTAGGGTTTAGGGTGTTAAACACCGCGCATCCTGATTCCTAAGCCCGGGTTTGGGGGCTTGCAGGCATGTGGATCTTCCTTGGGACTCGCGTAGGTGCTCTCGACTCAAGGCACAAGAGTTCGTGCGAGTCTCATACTGGTCCTCCCCCTTGATTGCCTTGAACTCAAAGCCATGAAAGAACCCACCCCCTTCGGCCTTGAAGAAAGGGGCTCTCCGATGATATCCCTAAACCCTAAATAAACTCACCCCAAACCCTAAACCCTAAACCCTAAACCTAGACCCTAAACCCTAAACCCTAAACCTTAAACCCTAAACCCTAAACCCTAAACCCTAAACCCTAAACCCTAAACCCATATCCGAAGGCGGCTTCCGCGAAACTCTCCGCGGAGCTGGACCTCTGCTTCGGGCCCATTGGGCAGCGCGCAAGCGCCCCCCCGAAAAGAATTCTTCGGGCTGGAACACACTAGTGTAGGGTTTAGGGTTTAGGGTTTAGGGTTTAGGGTTTAGGGTTTAGGGTTTAGGGTTTAGGGTTTAGGGTTTAGGGTTTAGGGTTTAGGGTTTCCGGCCAGGACATCATAGCCCGGATGCAAAAAGGGTTTAGGGTTTAGGGTTTAGGGTTTAGGGTTTAGGGTTTAGGGTTTAGGGTTTAGGGTTTAGGGTTTAGGCTACAGATTCCAGATCTCATAGAGATATTTCAAAGCTGGTGCAAATGTGAAGCTCGCAGCCCAGAAGGTGCATGACCGATCGGAAGCCAGAGGTGACGAGCTTACTGGCACGACCGTGGAAGCTATCCCGTCCTTCATTGAAGATCCGGAGGGCTTTGTGCACAGGTATGCCGCTCTAGCGGCTGATGATGAAGAGGCTGTAAGGGGCTTACAGACGGTCCTGGCTGATCTTCGTGAAGAACATCGAAGACTCCCGCATGGTGCTCAGCGCTCATGGCTTATTCGTGCCTGCGTGTGCATTCGAGCAGAGATCCGCAACTATGGAGGCTGTCCGGTCTAGCAGGGGCGTTTATGTCTGAACCAGTGAAGAGTGGGCAATGCACTCTTTTCAGCCGTTAATCCATGAACGGCTCTTTCGTCAGTTCTCATATGTAGTCCTGTTTAATAGCATCAGTTCACCATGGGCTTGTCAACTGGCCCGTTTGTCATAGACAAGGGTGAGTTTCATCCTGCCCGGCACACGAGATGTTGGGGCTAGGGTGGTGACGGCATCATCCAGGCGAGGACCTTCTGCAAGCCTGCTGCAAAAGGGTTTAGGGTTTAGGGTTTAGGGTTGCTCCCGGAAACCTTAACCGTAGCGAGGTTGACGAATCCAGGTCCAGGAGGTGGATCTGAGGTTTTGCATCCAAGTTCCTTTGTCCTGAGCTGGGCTTCCGATGATGGTAGCCCAGTGGTACCATTTACCCTTTTTTGGGTTCTAGGCTCTCTTGTAAAGTAGGCGAGCAACAAAGGGTGCCCTTATTATAATATTTCTACTGGGCTACTAAGCGGTCATGAGGGGATGGTAAGTTCTGAGTCTTGCTTAGTCGTCGTCGTAGGTTTTTTCGCGCAGCCCCCAGCCTATGTCACCTCATGTAGGTTGGATCATTTCAGATTCTGCGCCTGGCATGAACTAGCATATGAATTAAATAGGTAGCCCTAAGCCCCAAACCCTAAACCCCAAACCTTAAACCCCAAACCCTAAACCCTAAACCCTAAACCAGGTAGGCTCAAGGGAGGCATGCTCGGCCTAAGGATGTGCCCCTTTGGAGGTTCCCTTATCATGGCCCTTAGGTTTAGAGTTTAGGGTTTAGGGTTTAGGGTTTAGGGTTTAGGGTTTAGGGTTTAGGGTTTAGGGTGGTGTAGGGTTTAGGGTTTAGGGTTTCTTCCCTTAGAGGATCTTGATACGAAGTGTCCCCAAACCCGAGGGTACAAGCTTAGGGGTCCAAGGTCGAATCCCATGATGGGCATGCCTCAGCCCCAGAAGACTTCGAATGGTGATCTTTAGGTTTAGGGCTTAGGGTTTAGGGTTTAGGGTTTAGGGTTTCAGCCCAGGCAACTTCGCAGACTGGTATTTCGCATACCCCACAACTATCAAGCTGGTACGTGAAGCGGACGCTTGGCCTTTTGGGGGCGAATGGGCTCTTGGACGAGAAGCTAGATAGGGGCTGCGATTGAGGAATGCTTTAAATCAGGGAACTTCCCTAAACCCTAAACCCTAAACCCTAAACCCTAAACCCTCCCCAGATCAGGTCCTAGACAGATCCTGTATTGTCAAGTCTACTCGTCCTGCACGTAATTTTACATGAGCAACCACTCTTAACCCAAATATACACATGTTCCACTACATGTCTATAGATGTCCAACATCATTCATTGAAGTGATTTTCCGCTTTTCTCTGGGCTTGGACCGCTCCCCGCCATTTTCCATTTTCCGCCATGTTCTCCCGCTCGCGCTCCTCGCAGTCGCAGTCGCGGTCCCAGCAGCAGCCTCTGAACTCCCAGGAGACACCTCGGAATGAGGTTGATGTCTTGAGCCGATTGACGCTGGAAGAGCTGCAGCAGCTGGTGCTGTCACCGCCGGTCCTCGACGAAGGTGATTACCAAGCGGACCTCGAGCTTCGCAGCCCCACCAACCGCAGCCCCCTGACTGGCGACACGGCACCGCAGGCGGTGGAGGTGCACGTGTACAACCTCGGGGAGAATTTCGTGGGCCCCAACCACGTGTTGAACTTTGGACCGGCCCTCGGCGGAGCCTTCCACATTGGCGTGGAGGTCTTCGGAGCCGAGTGGTCGTATGGCGTGCACGGCGTCGCTTGCGATCCACCTCGCTCCGAGACGGCGCACGTTTATGAGTGCAGCATTCTTCTGGGGTCTACAGCCAGGAGCCGCATGGAGGTGGCAGAAATTCTCTTCCACCTCTGCCGAGAGTGGCGAGGACGCGACTACGACATGTTCAGTCACAACTGCTGCAGCTTCGGCAGGAGGTTCGTTGAGACTCTCTGCGTGCGTCCACTACCAGACTGGGTGGATCGACTGGCAAGGGGGATGAGCCAAGCAGGTGATACCTTGAATGGCCCCATGCTGGGGATAGCGAATCATCTGGTCGCCCGACTACGTGTCGGAGTGGACACAGCGACAGCGCGACGATCACCTCCAGGAGTTTCCGGAGCAGTCTGGTGACCGTGGTGCAGCAGCTTTCCATGAACCTGGGCCGGGGAGCTGGCAGCTCAATGCAACCTGGACTGCCAACGTACTATCCCGCCTTCCACCCACGCCGTCGCCACCTTGGGCGCATCCACAGGGCTACCCGCTGCGCACCCTGGCAGGCCCTCCGAACGTCATGCAAGGGGCGTTTCCACCTTGGGCGCATCCACAGGGCGACCCGCTGCGCACCCTGGCAGGCCCTCCGAACGTCATGCAAGGGGCGTTTCCACAGGGCTACCCGCTGCGCACCCTGGCAGGCCCTCCGAACGTCATACAAGGGGCGTTTTCACCTTGGGCGCATCCACAGGGCTATCCGAACGTCATGCAAGGGGCGTTTCCACCTTGGGCGCATCCACAGGGCTACCCGCTGCGCACCCTGGCAGGCCCTCCGAACGTCATGCAAGGGGCCATGAGCCGACTGCTGGACGACTGGCTGAGGGGTCTCCACAGGACACTACAACGGAGGGTGGATCTCCGCGAGCCCGTGCCAGACAGGCTGCAGACCAGGAGATGACTTTCCGTCTGAGGCTGCTGGAAGCCCGGGTCAGGGATGTCGAGAGGACGACACGCAGACTCTGGAGACAGGAGACAGCCACCCAGAGAGAAGTAGCAAGAGCTCATGACCGCATGGACCTCCTCGTGGCAACCCTGCGAGTCATGGTGACACGCGCGGCAGATGCTGGCCCTTAGAGAAGGAGGTGTGGACGGACGCGACTGGAGCGGGGAAGACCTATGACCTGAGGCGGAGAGGGGTAATTAGTGCACGCCCAAACCTTGAGCGACAATTAGTAATTCGCGCCGCGCCAGCAGGTCCGTGCCCCCATACCCGCCCTTTACAGCCCCCCCGCTTTTTATAGCCCAGGTTGATTAGTCCTATGCCCCTTGGCCCCCCTGTGACCCGCTGGTGAGTCCCCATGAGAAATGAATTCGCGCCGCCTGCGTGCACGACACATCCACGACGAACCATGGGGGCTTCTATGTCTCGTTGGGTTTCATATATTAGGCGAACCGGTGTGCTTTCCGGGTAGCTGTTGGGATGCCCCCGAACGTCAATTTGGTGCACCAATTCGATGCATGCCGTGAGCAAAGTGAAGACGCTAATTATGTGCATGTAATTAGACGCAGTCGAGGCAGGAGGTGACGGTTGAAACTGGTGAACTGTTGTGGATGGCTGTTTGGGTGTGTTGGTGCCACTCCTTGGTTCTAGAGCCCGCGTCCTCCCTCGAAACCTGAACACATCGGCACCCTCATGTCACAGAAACAAGACATGGTGGCGACGCGGAACTGGTGAGCTGTTGCGGATGGCTGTTTGGGTGTCTTGATGCTCTGATTGGGTCCCGCCAACCACGTCTGTATGCCGAAGAGGAGAGGAGAGTGAAACATTGCAAAGCATTATGCGGGCAAGGGGACACTAAGAACCAAGGGGGAGACATGGCGGTTGAAACTGGTGATCTGTTGCGGATTGCTGTTGGGGTGTCTTGGTGCTTTGAATGGAATACAAGCCAGGTCTCCCCTTGTACGGTGATAGCAGCGCAGGCAGACCAACAGCACTTTTTGTTAGGGGCGAAGGCGCTTTGTACAGACACATGGGGTTGCGTTTTTCCGGACAAAGGAGGGCAAATGAAGCATCTCCGTCCTACTCTGCAGGGGCCTAGGCACAATATGGATGCCTAGCAAGCCCCGATAGCTGTGGCCCCGATATTGCCGTGCCCGAAGCTTTGAGTCGGTAGAGGAGTTGCTGGGGACCTCACTTTGTACGGGCTCGGGACGTCCAATTGTGTGGGCCTGGCGGAAGCTAGTGTTTCAAGTGTTTCAAACCAAGGGGTTCCTGGCCACGTATTGCGCCAATGGCGTGTTGATTGGGACCTGAAGAACCCGGCCTGGACACATCCCCACCCGTTGTTGTGTTTGTGTGCTAGCCTATTGATGTTGTGGGGAGATGGTGATGGGGATGCCTCGGGGCCCTTTTTGCTGAAGACACATACGAGAGATCACGGTTGTTCCCTGCGGAGTGATCCCAGAGGGGGTCTGCTAGGCGGGTGGCAAAAAAAAACCCTAAACCCTAAACCCCAAAACACTTGTCCACGTCTGGGGTAGACTCATGTTTTGCCGAAAGAAGAAACCAAGCTTCCATAGCGCGGAGTTGGTGTAGTTTCTCCCCCCATATTACGCCAAACCCTAAACCTTACCCCTTCTACAAACCCTTCAGTGTCCTGGTATATACCCCTAGAGGAATCCTTGTATAAGGTACCCACCTTGGAACTCCCTTCCTGAATGCGGCTTAGGTTAAGGGCCTGTTTAGGGTTTACTTGGAGGTTCCTGGTACTTATACCCAGTCATAACTGTACTTCTAACCCACTTACAAGCCCCTTACGCGCCCTATCGTGGTTATAATTGGGTAATTGGGTCATGAACCTCCAAGTAGGGTTCAGCAAAACGGGGATTTGCCATCCTGTTCTCTTGGCCTCTTTGTCAGGCCATGACAGACATGCCAACTCATGCATCTACTCCATCCCACCCACTCCCACAGTTCAGGAGTATTCCATAGACTGCTGCGCCTTCTACCCTCCTTATACCCCCCCCCTTATATCCCCCCTTATACCCCCCCCCCCCCCCCCTTATACCTCCCTTCCCCCCCCCCCTGACCGATGCGCTTACCCCAATTACAACCCCTCCGCCCTCTTATACCCCTCTTATAGCCCTTACCCACCACCCCTTATGCCCCTCTTATAGCCCTGAATAGACAACATACTGCCCTAAACCCTAAACCCTAAACATTGCCACTTAAAAAGCCCTTCATGGACAACACATGGTTGTTTTTTTGGATCCTGTTTACAACTTAGAGAAGGTCTTTGGTTTCTGGGGCCTGTGGAGGCCATGTCGAGCCCGCTTAGTTCTTGAATACATAACCACAAGCTATCGTACTATTGTTTTTGTTGCCAGTGTTCGATTAAAGTTGTTAATACATGATAGTGTTGTAGTCGTAGTATTACTTCATTGTAGTTCATATTGAATCAGGTATTTGTTTCTTGGGGTGGGGGAGTGGGGTAGAATGTCGAGGGTGAGGCTTACGCCAAGCTGCATCTCTTTCGTAGGCGTACACACGCTTCATCCCTACAGCCCAAATTCCCAAAACTTTGTAACCATTCAACCCTTTCTATACCCTGCACCTTATAAGCCCACAATCCTAAACCGTAAACAAAGTCCTAAGCCCTAAGCCATTTTAGCAACTGCACCCCAAACCCTAAACCTTCAAATCATGCAGCAGAAACCCTAAAAGCAACAGAACCACAAAAACCCAAAATTGGAAATCCCTAAACCCTAAACCCTATACTAAGCGCTGTTAGTATCAGGGGGGGACATCATCCCAAAAACAACCCAAAACTGGAAGCCCTGAGGCGACGTCGGCGGCTCGCCACTCAGCGGACCTGTCGCGTACGACTCCGCTGAAGGCTCGGGCCACTCGAAAGCTCGCGGCACGTTTGGATTAGGGTGTAGGGTGTAGGGTTTAGGGTGTAGGGTGTAGGGTGTAGGGTGTAGGGTGTTGGGTTTTGGGTTTTGGGTTTAGGGCCTTTGGGGGCTTTGGGGCTTTGGGCTATGGGGTTATGGGGTCATGGGGTTATGCGGTCATGGGGTTGTGGGGTTATGGGGTTCTAAACCCCAAACTCAACAACACTCATGACAAGCGAAAAATATAGTAAATATAGCAGATTGTCCCAACCCTTTAAGGCTCCTTTTTAGGAAAAATAGAGCTCCGAGGATCCACTGTAGATTTTCCTGTCTATAATTCCCGACACGAACCTTCCCTGGCAGACGGCCATTGCTATGGACCTGGACGACGTCCTGATGCAAAAGTGCGCCTCCTTGGGTTTAGGGTTTAGAGAAGCCTGTTGCAAAAGGGTTTAGGGTATCCTGAGCCCTGTAAATCTGAAACTTCACGCCCTGTAATGTTGACTTCGCATTAATAAACCCCCCCCCCCCCCCCCCCCAATCTCTCCGGCCAGGGCCTCCTCAATTGTATTCGCCTAAATCCTGGTAGGACGTACTATTAGTTTTAGTATTAGGTAGTAGCACCACGCCCGTAAAAAACGGATTTCCCGGGTCGGATTTTACAATTGTGGCGGGTTACAATATTGTGTTCCGGCAGCTGGATTTTACAATTGCGGCGGGAATCATTAATGTGAAGTCAACATTACCGTCTTGTGGCCAGGGCTTCAAGGCGTCTTTAGGTTTGCACTTCTAGAGTCTAGAGGGTTTGGGGAGGTACGAGCGCATCGTACTCCAGCCTGAGCTGAACAATGCAAAGCTGCAGGAAGCCTTTCTCAACACGGTGGCCTGGCCTAAACCCCAAACCCAAAACCCCTCATTCTCCCAAAAGCTCCATTATAATCCTCGAAGATGACTTGCTAAGCTGGTGGATTCGTGTGTGTGTGGGACCTCTAACACCGCTGAACTTCTAAAGCCCCTGAACCTCTCAACCCAAAACGCATAGAAACCTCAACCCTAGCTAGGACCCAGAGTAGGCCCTGGGTCTTCGGCAAAAGGGCTCGAAGATTTCGGGGTTCTGGGCTTGGGATTCTGGATTTCAGGCTTCAGGGCTGGCGGCCGCCCTCACTCCCTCTCTCCCTCCCCCCCTCCCCCCCCCCTCCCTCCCCCCTCCTTCCCCCCTCCCCGCCCCGCCCCCAAAAAGAACAAATCTCGTAGGGCTTGTCGTGGCTTTGTAGGGCTTCGGGGCTTCCGGGCTTCAGGTTGGACCCGAAACACAAACCAACAAAAACCCCCCCAAGCTTCTGAACCCCAAAAACCCTAAGCTTTTGAAGGAACCCTAAGCCCCGAAAACCTCTAAAACAAACTCTAAAAAATCCCGAAGCTCCTTAACCCCAAACCCTAAACCCCAAACCCTAAACCCTAAACCCTACTCCAAATTCTCACGAAGCTGCAAGGCCAAAGACCTGCACCAGAGATTCTGCCGAGACATCCGGGACCTGGACGACCCTGAGCAGCTGAATGAGTGCACTGGATACTAGAATCCTAAACCCTAAACCCTAAAACCCTAGAACCCTAGAACCCTAGAGCCCTAAAGCCCTAAAGCCCTAAAACCCTAAAACCCTAAAACCCTAAAACCCTAAAACCCGAAACCCTAAACACTTTTTTTGGGATCTTATGAGCTCAGCAACTAAGGACCAGCTGCTCCGGGAGTTGGCCAAGCGGCCTGCTTCTGCTTAGAGATTGCTTAGAGCCGCAGGTAGGGTTTGGGGTGTAGGCTAAGGGTTTAGGGTTTGGGTTTAGGGTTTAGGGTTTAGGGTTCAATAGATTCGGGTTTCTTAAAGCCTTTGTAGAGGGTTTAGGGTTTAGGCTTTATTGGGATTGTTGAGGGCAGGCCCGGCGAGTTAGTTTCGAGGAAAGTTTCTGTTTTTGATTGTTGAATGATTTCAAATTACAGGGGCTTGAGGGTTTAGGGTTCAAGAGTTTAGGGTGCAGGGTTCAGTTTTCCCCACTGCACATGACCCGCTCCATTCTGACGCCTTCACCAACTGCATGCAGGTAAATAAAGCGGCAGGTAAGCCCAGACTCCTGTAAACTCTCAGCCCTATACTACCTCAACGCCGTTATACAGCCCCGACACCCCCCCCCCCCCCAAAAAAAAAAAAAAAAAAAAAAAAAAACTAATAACAAATAAATAACAAAACTTTAGGGTTTAGGGTTTAGGGTTTCGGGTTAAAGCCTCAAACTGAAACTTGCAAAACCTCAGACAACTCAGGCGGACATCCCACCTCGAGGAGCCATCGCACGACGCTGTGTCCCTCAGCACGGGTCTATAGCCGGGGTTTAGGGTTTAGGGTTTAGGGTTGTTGGATCTGGGGGTCCAGGGTTTGAAGGGTCGGCCGTGTCCGTGTCCTCTGAATACCTTGCAGACAAAATTCACCCTCAAAGGGTTTACTGTTCACATTACCTGACATAGGAATTATCGTAGTATAGGGTACTCCCCCCCCCCCACCAAAAAAAGACAAGAGAGAGAGAGAGAGAGGGAGAGACAGGTTCATGCAGGTCCCAAAGGTAGGCGTGCTCGAGAGACACACGCGCACCCCTCGAATTTCGTGCCTGCAGGGTGAGATGCGTATGGTGTTGGCTACAGAAGTTCCCAAAACGCTAACCATGCGCGAGTCTGAAAGTCGAAACGTCTAACCCGAAATCTGCCATGAAGGGCTCGATTCGTTTGGCATGGAACCCGAAGTGCATTGCTAGGGTTCTAAACCCTAAACCCTAGAAGTTCAGGCCGAGTCTAGGGCTGAAGGCCAAAGCCCTGAACCTCTACATCCTTACGCCCACTCCCGAAGTTCTGCTAAAAGGCTTGGGGGTTCGGTTTAGTTGTCTGCCAGGAACTTCGAGCTCAGAGTAGAGAGCCAGAACTTCTAAAACCACCAACTAGTTTGGAGTCTACATTGGTGACCCTAAACCCGACACCCTAAAACCCCAAAACCTTAAAACCCTAAACCCTAAACCCGAAACCCGAAAGCGCTAAGAAAAGGCACCTGACCCTGGATTGGTCTTCGCAGCGGCACAAGGTCAAGGCGGGTTCAGGGTTTTAGGGTTTTGGGACTTGTTTCTGGAGGGTTTTAGTGTTGGAGGGTTTTTAAGGTTTTCCGGGGCTTTGGGGTTTTAGGGTTTTGGTGTTGGAGGGTCTCTTAAACCCTAAACTCTAAACCCTAAACCCTAAACCCTAAACCCGGGTGTAGGGTGTGGGGTTTACGTGGGTACGGCTTCGGATCTCAGAGTGGAGTTCCTGCATCCTTGCAAGCCTGGAACCCTCCAGCGCGCGCTGTGCAAAAAAAAAGGGCTTAGGGTTTAGGGTTCAAAAGGGTTTAGGGTGTAGGGTTCAAAGGGTTAAGGGTTTAGGGTGGTTGGTGGAAGATACCGGGCTGTAGACATGTCTCTAGCCTTAAACCCTATACCCTAATGCCATTGCACTGGGACCACTTCAGATGGATGTTTTCTGTATACTGGGCCCTGCCTTCGTGCACAGTGCCCTATGCAAATTCCCGTACCGACCTAAACCCTAGACCCAACCCACTGAGTGCGCTACAGAGGGTTGCCACCAATCCTCGGGCTTGGGATGTTTCATACGCTTCCTTGGGATGTTCCCCCTTATACTGACAGTCCAGAATAGGGACTAGTATAGGGGGGAACAACCCAACTTTTCCCATGAAAAGAAGACCTAGTGCAGCAAGTTAGAACGTATGTATGTGTTTTTCATTATGTTTTACATTTCATCTTGTTGTCTTGTTTTCACATGTTTGTTTTGTTACATTCATGTATCGTGTATGTTCTTGAGTGCATTTGTTTGCCATGCATGCGCTGCAGCTTATGTTTTTGCTGTTCACTCTCGGTCTCTCTCTCTCTCTCTCTCGCGCGCTCTAGGTATATATATATATATATACTAGTGGCTTAAGAAGCCCAAAACGGCAGAGGAAGAGAGCGAGAGAGAGAGAGAGAGAGAGAGAGAGAGGACTCCCTAGGGGAAGTGACACACATTGACCACGTTAGGGGGAAAGGGGAAGGCTTCGGGAGGTCCTGCGAGGGTTCTGTTTGGGGGAAGGAGGATAAGGGCTTTTTGAATCGGGGGACGGGGCAGGCTTCGGGAGGTTCCATGAGGTTCGTTTCCTGGGGACAGGGGGAGGTTGGAGGGGTAACACGCAAGCCCTAACATAAACCAGCGGGGGCAAAGAGGGGGAAGCCAGTATAGAACATACTCTTGGCCTCAGCCTTAGGGAGCATAGCTGTGTTCCTATCCCGAAGTAATGGCACCCTCTGAAGCCTAGAAGTCCACCAAGCTAGGCCCAGCAGGTCGGGAGAACAGTGTGAGAGTAGCAGTGCTTCCGTGGTGTGGAAATCCCGAAGCCGGCTGGCCATAGCAGGCGTTAGGTATCACCGACGGGGATGTGGGGGCCAGCCCCGGGGCAATGCACCCGGGGAACCACACAACACAGAAAGGCCTAACTGCAGGAGCCCGTCGCTGTAATTTCACCCAGACCTGACTCACCTCCGGGCGCGCCTGGTGCGCGGGGGTTCTCCCCCATGCCCTGCAGAAGAAGAAGAGAGGACTCCCCCCTTATTACGCTTATAGGGAAGGATTTGTTTTTTTTTGGGGGGGGGTTCTGAAGCAAACAGTAGATATATACACATGCATGGGGATGTTACCCCTTATGCAGAACCTCTACTGTAATCTGTATGAAGGACTGTTAGTATAGTATAAGGGGGAACATCCCAAAATGGACCCTTTATATATATATATATACACATATATATATATGTAAACCCTAAACCCTAAACCTTAAACCCTAAACCCTAAGCCCTAAGCCCTAAATCCTAAACCCTAAGCGAGGCCGTCCCCGCCCAGTTCGAGAAGATGCCGGAGCCGAGCGCAGCGTCAGGGGTTTCAGGGGTTTCAGGGGTTTAGGGTTTAGGGCTAGGGTTTAGGGTGTAGGGTTTATAAATAGGGTTTCAGGGGTTTAGGGTTTGGGTTTCAGGGTTTTCAGGGGTTTCCGGGTTTAGGGCTTAGGGTTTAAAGGGTTCTGGGTCTGGGTTTAGGGTTTGGGTGTAGGGTTTCAGGGGTTTAGGGCTGCGGGTTTAGGGCTTAGGGTTCAGGGGTTTCAGGGGTTTCAGGGGTTTCAGGGGTTTCAGGGGTTTCAGGGGTTTCAGGGTTTTCAGGTTTAGGGTTTAGGGCCTCTGGGGCTTCAGGTTTCAGGGGGTTTCAGGCGTTTCAGGGGCTTGGGGTTTAGGGTTTAGGCTGTAGGGATGTAAAAACGGGGTTTGAGGGTTGTTTGAGGGTTGTAGGCTCACAGGGTATCTGTTGTGGATTTGAGGATTGGGTGTAGTTTCGGGGGTTCCGCAGAAGATCTAGTCATATTTCTTGTTGAGTCGGTCCCCCCTAAAGTCCCCAAAGCCTCTAACTCCTAGGGCTTTTAACCCCTGCGTCCCTGACAACCCGCGAACCGTAACCCTAAACCGGAGGCCTAAAAAGGCTCCCTGGCTGATTGCAGCATCGTGACAAAAAGCCCTAAGCCCTAAACCCCGAAGCCCTAAGCCCTAACCCCTAAGCCCTAAGCCCTAACCCCAAACCCGAATGGGTTCCTTCACCGAGATCCTCTTCGGATGCAGCCAGAAGGATGACCCGGCAAGAGCTGAAGAGCTAGGTGGCAGTTTAGGGTTTAGGGTTTGGGGTTTAGGGTTTAGGGTTGACGGCTTAGGGTCTAGGGGAATGCTACCTAAGCCGCATGAAGGATCAGGAATCCGAGCTCATCTGGCTTCCGGGGGCGTGTGGAGTCTCTGAAGCGGGTGGTGAAAGGTCCCACCACAAGTTGCACGCTATCCTATATCCCCCTTGGGAATTATTTTGTATTTTGTTTATATAAAACCCAAGAGGATATTAAACATATTTTTGTTATCAAGGGTCTAAGGGGAGTATAGTGTGGACGATGTCTCCTTCATGGCTCGCTCGGCAGTGCCGGTGTTTTTGGGAGATGTGCGGGCGTAGCTGCATCTGGGTCCAAGCCGGCAGTGCTTGGCAGACCTAACACCCTAGATGTTTATGCGAGTCTAGCGAACGTTTCTGTCGTCCTCACTCTACAGTACGCAATACCCACCTTGTCCCAACCTATAGTTAACTTCATGTGCCTTTCATACCACGCGTTTCTCCGCCAGACTTTCCCACAGATCCTAGAACCGGCCACCATGTCAGAACGGAGAAACGACGAACGGTGGTGCCAGAACCACAACTTGGATTTGAGGCACACCCCGTGAAGCCTAAAGTTCTTTGAAATAAGTTAAGGATGGAGTTAAGGAATATTCCCCGAACTGCGGGATAATCTTGGGGGTTCCTGCGTAGTTATAAGTGGAATTATAAGTAGTGCCGCTATCATTCTAGCTGGTGAGGAATCTTACTAAGGGTACTGAAAACCCTACTTATAGCTACCCATGAACCTCCAAGTAGGACTCAGGGTTGCAGCCCCCCATCCTGAACCCTAAAACCCCGCCGGTTTAGGGTTTTAGGGTTTGGGGTTTAGGGTTTAGGGTTTGGGGTTTAGGGTTTAGGGTTTAGGGTTTAGGGTTTAGGGTTAGGGTTTAGTACTGGGTTTGGGAAGTGCCATGAGAGGAGCTCTCCCTGGCCTTGGGCGTCGGGGGCGCGGTCGCGGCCAAGGCTGGGAAGCTCGCGGAGCGTTTAGGGTTTAGGGTTTAGGGTTTAGGGTTTAGGGTTTAGGGTTTAGGGTTTAGGGTTTAGGGTTTAGGGTTTAGGGTTTAGGGTTTAGGGTTTAGGGTTTAGGGTTTAGGGTTTAGGGTTTAGGGTTAGGTTTAGGGTTTAGGGTTTAGGGTTTAGGGTTTAGGGTTTAGGGTTTAGGGTTTAGGGTTTAGGGTTTAGGGTTTAGGGTTTAGGGTTTAGGGTTTAGGTTTAGGGGTTAGGGTTTAGGGTTTAGGGTTTTGGGTTTAGGGTTTAGGGTTTAGGGTTTAGGGTTTAGGGTTTAGGGTTTAGGGTTTAGGGTTTAGGGTTTAGGGTTTAGGGTTTAGGGTTTAGGGTTTAGGGTTTAGGGTTTAGGGTTTGGGGTGTAGGGGTGTAGGGGTTTAGGGTGTAGGGGTGTGGGGTGTGGGGTGTAGGGGTGTAGGGGTGTAGGGGTTTAGGGGTTTAGGGGCTTAGGGGCTTAGGGTTCAGGGCTTAAGGTACAACCCTTGTGGATTAAGGGTTTGAAGTTGAAGCTCGCGAAAGCAAGGAGAACTACAGTGCCTTGCGATCTTTGCAACCGTCGGGTCTTCCTCCATGTGCTTCTCAAACCTCAAACCTATTGGAGGTTCATCGTACGCGTAAGCCCATTCATAACTGCACTTATAGCCACTTATAAGCCCCCTTAAGTGCCCTAATGTGGTTTTAATTGGGTTATATAAGTACAGTTGATATAATTGGGTCATGAAGTACCATGAGCCTCCAAGTACAACTCTACTTGAAGGTTCATAAGTAGGGTAATACGCACCCCAATAAGGTTCTATCCAGTTATATGTACAGTTCCCCTACTTACAACGCCACCTACAACTCTCCATGAACTTCCAAGCAAGCCCTAAACCCTAAACCCGAAACCCGAAACCCTGACCCCTAAACCCTAAACCCCAAACCTTGCTCTCCTGCCCAATGGTTGCGACATTCAGGCGGCTGGCGCCTCCTTGAGCAGCAAGGTTGCAGGCCACTGCTAAGCGCATGCTTGGAGGTTCTATGGTCTTGGATAACCTGGGCTTTGGAGTACTATACTTTAATATTTTTTGTTCTGGGTTCCTATGATTGCTGCTTATTACCTAAAAAGTATATCCCTTTTTTCCAGGGTCTACTCCAAAGCTAAGTACCCATTCGAGCTGTACAAATAACCCAATTAGGGTTTAGGGTGTAGGGGTTAGGGCTCCTACTCAGAGTAGGCCCTTATTCCCTGTTTTAGGGTTTAGGCTCCTTTATAAGCTGTTTAAACCAAAAAGGGTACCCTTACCATTCCTAGGTTAATCTTGGGTCTAATTTTCTGGCAACCCTAACCGTTGAAACCCCCATGTGTGTCTGCTTGGGTTGCAAGACCGACGTTGAAGGCGCCGCAGCCGGCAAAGCCGTGTGCAGCAAGCTCTCAGCGCCATTCGCGCTGAAGGCATCGTGGGTGTTAGGCTTGTGACAATGGGATTGAGACTAGAGACGAAACACATGCGTTTGTATATGGTTGTTTCCCAATGTAGGGAGTACCCCTTTGATAGCCCAGATAGAGTAGAATCCCCTTAATTAACGGGGCCCCCCAAAAAGGGCACCCTGGTTTTCGGAAACCCTCATATCTATTTAAAGGGTTTCAATCATGCATCATTCCCAACAGCCGAAGGGTTGGGCTTCTATCTCTAGAGGCGGGGCCCAAATATCACCCCGGAGGCCGGAACGGAACGCCGGAACGGAACGGAACTTGATCATCTTTGTCTTGCCGCCTACCCAGAACCCGCGTGAAGCCCCGAACGCACAAGCTCTTCATGCGGTTGCTGTTTCGATGCTTGCGGTCAGGAACCCAAACTAAACCCTAAATTTGGAGCTTTGGGTGCTCTCACACGCTACAAGGCAGCAAACAGGGAGTTAGTGTAGGGTTTAGGGTTTAGGGCTAGGGTTTAGGGTTTAGGGTTTAGGGTTTAGGGTTTAGGGTTTAGGGTTTAGGGTTTAGGGTTTAGGGTTTAGGGTTTAGGGTTTAGGGTTTAGGGTTTAGGGCTACTAAGTCCTCTTGAGGCTCTGGGTGGCACTGCCGTGGCGGGCTTACTCGCGGGCCCCGTGGGCGGCGCGGTGGGTTTGGCTGCAGGCCCCTGGATTCCTAGGACCCAGGGTAGGCCTTTATTCACGTTTTCAGGGTTTAGGGTTTAGGGTTTAGGGTTTAGGGCTACTAGTGTTGGCCCCTATTCTCGTTCTTTCGGGTTCAGGTTTTAAACCGATAAGGTTTCTCTTGGGTGTTAGATTCGGAGTTTACACAACCTGAGGCTTTACGAAAAGTGGGCACCCCTTATGTATCTAGATCCACAAGTGGTAGGATCCAAGTATAGTAAGGACCCACGATGAGGTCCTTCTACTTTCGGAAAACCCTTGTTAGGGCATAAGGGGCTTATAAGTGGGTTTTAGGTACAGTTCCCACTCGGATAGAAGTACCATGAACCTCCAAGTAGGTGTTGGCGCAGACGTGGCGCTGCACCGGGGGCTGGAGCTCTTGCAGCGAAAGGAGCTACAGCATGGGATTCTCGTATGGAGTACTTGGCCCTAAACCCTACAACCCTAAGCCCTAAACCCGGGTGGCGAAACCCACTTGGCGTTAGGTCTAGGGTTGCCAATTCAGGGAGGACAGGGGGTCTGGGGCATCAGGGAAGTATGCTTTTCTGTATATATATATATATATATAAAACCCTGCCAGAATTTAAGCCCTAAACCCTAAACCCTTTTTTGGGCCAGTGTACTCAGCAACTAGGTTTCAGCCCTCCGAAGCTCCAAGACCCTGAAGGCGTAACGCCCGAACCTCCTGCAAGCCCTCCGAAACCTTGAGTTAGGGACTGGGTCGGTAACCTTTAGCCTTTCTGGACTTCTGAATCTTTAATTTGTAGCATGTCTCACGCTCGACGCCGGGGACTTGCTGTGCACACGTCGCGCTTTAGCCTTTCTGGTAAAAAAACACTCCTCACATATATATATATATATATATATATATGTACATATATACATACACACACATATATATATATAAGGTTAACCATTTTTGGGCTAGGGTATTCAGCCAAGTTGAAACTTGTTTTTTGGCCCCCAAGCACCGGTAAGCCGAATACAGGGGCCTGAGAAATTAGACTAGAGTTTGGGTTGGCTAGTATAATCAAAAGGAACGATAAGGGAACACTACCCTAAGCCCTAAACCCATGTTATTCCGACCCTTAGAGTCTGCGCTCCCTGTTAAAGCACGAAAGCTCGGGGAGCGTGGCTTGAGGTGTTTGTTGCTTTAGCAGGGAGGGCCGGAGAAGGCCTGAAAAGGCTGCAAGCCACGCATTTCTGTCATAGGAACAATATGGCATGTGGAAAGGAGGTATCGGAGAAGCCATGTCGTTGGGCGTGAAACACTTCCGGACAGCGTTCCCTGGCGTGTTGGGTTTGGGCTAGCTTTCCTTGTCCCTGGATTGCCCCTCAAGTCCTAAAACCCCTAGAAACCCGAAGTTTAGGGTTTAGGGTTTAGGGTTTAGGGTTTAGGGTTTAGGGTTTAGGCCTGTCAACCCCAAAGGCTTAGAAGCCCCAAGCCGGAAAACAACCCACACGTGCCCACCGCATAAGCCCTTCGTAGAACTTCACCAGCAAATAGCGCACGCATACAACTCCACTATGGAATCCCTAGACCCTAAACCTGAACCCTGAACCCTAAACCCTAAACCCCAAACCCTAAACCCTAAACCCTAAACCCTAAACCCTAAACCCTAACCCTAAACCCCAAACCCCAAACCCTAAACCCCAAACCCTAAACCCTAAACCCTAAACCCCAGAGCCGCAGAGAGGACTTCGAGGCCGAAGTTCTTCGGGCAGTGCAGGCCACGCGCGACGAGTACTTCCAGACCCTGGAGGCCGCACGCGCCCTCACTTGGGGTTTGGGGTTTAGGGTTTAGGGTTTAGGGTTTAGGGTTTAGGGTTTAGGGTTTGGGGTTTTGGGGGGTTTTGGGGGTTTTGGGGTTTTGGGGTTTGGGGTTTAGGGGTTTAGGGGTTTAGGGGTTTAGGGGTTTAGGGGTTTAGGGGTTTGGGGGTTTAGGGGTTTAGGGGTTTAGGGGTTTAGGGGTTTAGGGGTTTTAGGGTTTAGGAGTTTTGGAGTTTTGGGGTTTAGGGTTTGTGGTTGTAGAGTTTGGGGGTTGAGGGTTGGGGTCTAGGCAGCCATCCGGTTAGGAGGCCCCACTGTTGCCTGTTCCACTGGCAGGGAAGATGGGCATGGGTTTAGGGCTTATAGGGTTTATAGGGTTAACCGGTGAAGAGTGTAGGGTGTTAAAGCAGCAGCAGGGGTCGGCCCTGTCGGTGAACAGTTGCGAGTGCACTTTCAGCAAGATTTCTGGGTGTTTAGGGTTTAGGGTTAGGGTTGAGGGTATTTATTACGTCGCAAAGAAACATGGGAGGTTTTGCGACACAGGTTTTCCAGGGCCCTGGGATGCTAAAATCCCATGTTCTACCCCCCCCCCAAAGCCCCATAGAAGATCATCATAACAGGCCTATAGAATGCAAGAAGTAATCAGAATACAAATAACAATATGCTAATCATAAGAAGAATGAACAACAATCATTAAAAGTAATAATCGCAATAAGAATAAAGATGCTAACAATAGCAATAAGACTAGCCAAAAACAAAAATTCTCATACTAATAGCAACAATAGAAATTTCATTAGCAAGAATAAAAACATCTAATCACAATAGTACTATTTTTAAGACGCCCCAAGCCGCGACCCCGAAACCCCCAGGCCAAGCCTAAACCCTCAACCCGCAACCCTCAACCCTCAACCCTAAACCCTAAACCCTAAACCCTAAACCCTAAACCCTAAACCCTAAACCCTAAACCCTAAACCCTAAACCCTAAACCCTAAACCCTAAACCCTATACCCTATACCCTATACCCTATACCCTATACCCTAAACCCTAAACCCTAAGCCCTAAACCCTAAACCCTAAACCCTACCCCTAAATCCTAAACTTAATTGAAGTGAACTCAAAGTGCCCAGCGCCTAAACCCTACCCCTAAGTCCTAAACAAATTGAAGTGAACTCAAAGTGCCCAGCGGGAGGCCGAGCTCCACCGCGCCCTGGGAGCTTGGAGCCTCGCTGCCTATGGGGTTATAGGGGGTTTAGGGTTTAGGGTTTAGGGTTTAGGTTTAGGGCTAAGGGTTTAGGGCTTAATCCGAGCACCTGTTTAATTGGGAGGGGTCCCCCCCCCCCCCCCCCAAAATAAGGAAGGCAGGGTTCCGCAATAATTGGACCATGGCCCTGCATTGATTCTCTATTAAAAACAATAGGCTGCAGATCCCCGAGGTGCTGTAGCTCCGCATCTCCGCAAGCAAAACAAGAAGCCTGCCGACAGATTTTTGAACCCCCCCAAAAAAAAATTCTTTAAATGTGGGGGGTTATGCCCATACGAAATCCACCGTAATGGAAAGTAGTCTTCCGGCGGGCTTCCGGAGAAAAAATATTTCTTTAAATATGGGGGGTTTAATTAAACAGGTGCTCGGATTAGGGTGGAAGCTGAGGGTTGAGGGGCTTCAGGGCTTGGGATTTAGGATTTCGGGGCTTAAGGGTTGAGGGGTTTCAGGGTTTGGGGTTAAGATAGGCTTAAGGGGGGTTTAAGGGTTCTGGGTTTGAATCTGTCAGGGTTGAGGTTTCCGGGCCTTAGCGGAGTTGTCGGGGCTTTGCCGCTTTGCTAAGAGGACGCTGGGCACGGGGGTTTTGGGTTGAGGGTTTAGGGGTAGGCCCCCTTGTTCCAGGAGGCCTTATGAACCCCACTCAAGAAGAGAAGGTCGCCCTTTTCCCAGGTTGATGGGTGGCCTTTCGGGTTTAGGGTGTAGGGTTTAGGGTTCAGGGTTTAGGGTAGGAAGTTTGGGAGTTGTAGGGTTTAGGGGGTTTGAGGGTTTGGAGGTTGCGTTTTGGTTGGCAGTTGAGGCTCGGCAGCTTGTGCCTAGAGATCTGACCGTTGTACACCCTATTCCCCAAACCCAACTTTGGCTCAAGGCGAACGCGCGCTGCGTCCCCATGCGCGGACATCCGCAGCCCCCCAAATCGACGCGTACGCCCATACCCCTTAGTTCGGGAAAAGTATGAGAATCGTGCCCCCATCGTGGGCGTTGGAAACCCCAACTTTCTCCGGAACCTTTCTCAGGGCAATCCAACACCTGAAGCACCACACCACCCTAAACTCTAAACCCCAAACTATAGGCCTTGTTGTTTTCCGCCACCTCCTGTGGCCGATGCACTGGGTTCTCTCCTGAGGCCCCCTTGCATCAAAGGCGGCTCTTCGTGAGCCCGATGATTGAGCCAGGTTTTGTGACCTCAGAGCCAGGAAGGTCCGTACCCTCGCCTCATCATCGGCTGACGTCGAGCTTGAGCGACCACCTGCAAATTTGGGGACTTCCGGTTCCCGAACCTGAGCCAGCAGCTTCTTAGTAGCTGAGTGAGTACACCTTGCACTTTTTGAGGGGATACGCTAACCCCCCCCCCTAAAAAAACTGCAAGTCTACACTTTTGTTAAGGGAAGTCCTTATGTGAACTCAGCAACCAAGGTTTGCAGGCCGGCCTGGCCCGAGTCGGCGGACACCGTCACGATCAAGAACATTCCCTGCCGCATCCGGACGCAGGAAGTTCTGTCGGCGGTGCGCGCGCTGGGCTTCACGGAGACTTACTTCTCCAACAGCCGAAGTTTAAGTCTCTTTTTGGTTTCCTTAGTTAGTAGGAACAGCAAAGTTTAGCTTTTTTCTGGTAGGAATGGTAAAGTTTAACCTTGTTTTCCCCTGGGTTATTGGAGAAGTAAGGAGAACGAGCTTGTTTACTTCCATCTTCCCGTGAAACAGGGCCGGCCCACTTGTACTCTGGGCTATTGCTTCATCGGCTTTCGTAGTGCGGCTTTGGCGCGGCAGTTCTGGGAGAAGTCCTCGGACCTACAGTTTCCGGATCGCACAATGGGGTTTAGGGTTTAGGGTTTAGGGTTTAGGGTCTAGGGTTTAGGGTTTAGGGTTTAGGGCTAGGGTTTAGGGCTAGGGTTTAGGGTTCCCTGTTTCGGCCCTCAGGTTCCCGGATCGCACAAGCCTCAAGGTCCCTTATGTCGAAGCAGCCACATCAGTGAATCGCAGTCGTGCTTCGTCCATGCACGGCGAGGTGCTCCTTAGTGGTAGAATAGGTAACTTTTTTTATACAAATTTTGGGGGGGTAGTAGAATCTCCTTAGTGGTAGAATAGGTAACCTTTTTTTTACATTTTTTTTTTTTTTTGGGGGGGGGGGTAGCAGAATCCCCTTAGAATCTCAAAGGTTTGCCTTTAGTTCCCCCAGGTTACTGGACAACTAAGGCTCTGTTTCAGGCGCGAAGCCGCCGGCGCTGAGGGGGTCGATGTCGCGTCGATGTCGCGTGAGCCAGGGCAGCTGAAGCTGTGAGGGGAGGATTTTAGGGTTTTTCTCCGGTGTCTTCCTTCAATCTTGGGTCCAAGTCAGCCGGTCTGCGCAGAGAGCCACGAAGGTCCATTCACTCCCCAAACCCTAAACCCTTTAAACTCTAAACCCCCACTGGAAGCGAGGTTTTAGGGTTCCTGGTGAGGGGCTGCAACCCTGAGTCCTACTTGGAGGTTCATGGGTAGTTAAAAGGAGGGTTATAAGTGCCCTAAAATAAGGTTATAACCAGCCATAGTTCTACAACTACCCATGAACCTCCAAGTAGCCCTAAACCCTAAACCCTAAACCCTAAACCCTAAACCCTAAACCCCTAAACCGAAAGACCCAACGTGCTCTTTGGACAGCCGGGCAGACGGATTCGGGGATGAACTCGTCTGTAATTCCACGGAGCCACATGGCTTGCAGGTTCATGGTACCTAGGGGTTAGGGTTTAGGGTTTAGGGTTTAGGGTTTAGGGTTTAGGGTTTAGGGTACTTATAACCCAGTTACAACTGTACTTATAACCCACTTATAAGCCCCTTAGGTGCCCTGATGTGGTTGTAATTGGTTCATAAGTACAGTCATGATTGGTTGTCAGATACCATGAACCTCCAAGTGGGGGTTTACGAAAATAGGGGACCCCAAAGTCTCCGCAAATAGTAGGATTCCCTTATACTATGGACCCCCAAAAGGGGTACCCGTAATGTCGGAAACCCCCCACATGAACGTACATCCAACACTTGGTTGGTGCATCCCTGCCAGATATTGTGGAAGGGCCAGCCAAGTCACCAAGGCGGCAAGGCTCACGAAGAGCCTAGCTGCTTCCAGGCTTCAGGTTTCAGCCTAAACCCTAAACCCTAAACCCTAAACCCTAAACCCTAAACCCTAAACCCTAAGGTTGTTGGGGTCTTGGGGTTGCAGGTTACGGTCAGGGGGCAGGAGCCCGAAGCCCTAAACCCCCAAAACCATAAGGGTGTTCGTGTTTTTTTGTTGTTGCTGAGGGTAGTTTCATGGGGCGCTTAGTATGGTCCCTAAAGATGGTTTAGGGTTTAGGGTTTAGGTGTTGCTTGAAGCCATTTGAGATCGTTTGATGCAGAAGGCTCCTCACCGGGCTTAGGATTTAGCGTAGCAACTGGGTAAGGAACCTCTAGCCTTCTTGTTTATACAGAATCCAACGATATATATATATATATATATATACATATACATATGCATATATATATGTGTATATATATATATACACATACATATACATACACATGTACATACATACATACATACATATTTTTTCTAATGTTTATAACCTTTCTTGGGCTAGGGTATTCAGACCCTCAGTTAGGCTCGGGCTCATGTCCCGATAGCCCTATAACCCCTCAACCCCCAAAAAGTTCTTCTTGAGACCCTCAAGTGACAAGGCCCGGGCTGAGGAGCTCAATTCGACCTAAATGCGAGCCTTTGGTGCTCATTTTCGGCTTCCGGAGGGCCCTAAACCCTATAAACCCTATAAACCTTATAAACCCTACAAACCCTATAAACCCTATAAAACCTATAAACCCTATAAACCCTATAAACCCTATAAACCCTATAAACCCTAAACCCGCGGAGGGCCCGGACCCTAGTATAAGAGGTGCCATTTCCTGGTGACGCCCGGCTGCCCAGACTGGTTTGAGTCTGGGGTTGGCCGCAGGCAGTCCCTTAAGGAGTTGGCGAAGAGCGGTGCTGTGGCAGAGAGCGAGAGTGCTGGCATAGTTTTGAATTTTGGCACTCTGCAGTAATTCGTCCCTGCAGTGTTTTTTCGTGCGTACTAGGAGGTGGCAAAAAATGGCCGACCTGGATTTCGGGAGCACGGGATCAGAGGATCATTTGACTACGTGTGGTTCTCACCAAAAATGCCCTTTGTGGTGCTCTACTGTAACTTTAGATCCTTAGCCTTTTTGGGTTATTGGGTTTCTTAACAAAGGCAGCTAAAAATTTAATTTTTCGCTACCCTCTTAAGTGCAGCCAAGTGCCCTTAAATGAGCAGAAGTCCCCACCGATATGTCCTGCCTGTGGGCGCCCTGCTGCCGCACGTCTTTCATTGCTACTGCTACTGTGTTTCATTGCGAGGGGTGATCATAGAGAAGCATCGCGTGCGCTTACCTCAGTAGGGTTTACAATGTAGGGCTTCATTTAGGTTTAGGATTTTGAGTTTAGGGTTCCGTAGTCCCAGCAAGCTTATCGGAATCTGGGTTCAAAGGGTTCTAGGATGAAAAGCGAAGACTCGAAGTATTGAAGGCCTCTACCCAACAATGGTGCCAACCTCCCTTGACAGATATACTGCTTTTCGAAGCCCGTAGCTCCTTGTTAAGCTAGCTGGCTGTCACTGTGGACTTTACGAGTTGAGTCTCACTAAGAAGCGAACGAATGACCTGGCTTGCCATGTGCCCAAAACTCCTGTAACTTGTTTTCGCCGCTCCTCCTTCGCAGATCCTCAACCCGGATCAGGGGTAATTAGGTTTGAACATAACACCCTTAATCCCTATATAATCCTTATAAACGCCATTACAAAACCCCTAAACCCTTTGCAAGGCCCCCAAACCTACCCTGGTGATCCCTTGTAGCATTCGCGCCCAGGATGGCCGATGCCCGGCATTTAGCTTACACGTCGCCAGCCGCCGCTGAGTGATGGCCTTCCCAGGGGCCTTCTGTGCTGAGGATGAGGAACCCTGGGGCTTTGGCTAAACCCTAAACCCTAAACCCTAAACCCTAAACCCTAAACCCTAAACCCTAAACCCTAAACCCTAAACCCTAAACCCTAAACCCTAAACCCTAAACCCTAAACCCTAAACCCTAAACCCTAAACCCAAACCCTAAACCCGAAACCCTAAACCTACGAAAGCCCGAAGCCCTATAGACCCTGCGGCCGAGGAGCCCCGACGAAAAGTTGAGGCTTCCCTGAAAGCTAATCCTCTAGGACCCAGAGTACCCCTATCCCCCTTTTTTGTTGGGGTTTAGGGTTTAGGGATCAGGGTTTAGGGTTTAGGGTTTCGGGCTACTAGGACCCAGAGTAGGCCCTTGTTCCCTTTTCTGAGGGTTGCGGTTCCCTTAGAGAAGCCCCTTTAAGCCAAAAAGGTGCACCCTTCTATTCCTGGGTTTATCTTGATTCACGTCCTTGTTGAGTAGGGATTCAAGAGAGCATCTGGGGCTCTACATGATGGTCCCGGTCCCCTTCAGGCACCTTCATTGTAAGGCTTCGTACTATCAGAGGAACCCCTAAACCCTAAACCCTAAACCCTAAACCCTAAATCCTGAGAATGGAATTCCCCGTTTGTTCACAGACACACCCTTCGCCGTAGTGTTTCCGAGTTGCCCATAAATCCTGAACCCTAAACCTTTCTACTCTGCAGGTTCAAATCTGATCTTCTAGAAACCCGAAACCCTACACCCTAAACCCTAAATCCTAAACCCTAAACCTAGAGTTTAAGCCCCAATTAAGCCCCAAGCCCTGGATTCGAACCTGCGAGCAGAAACTCGTTCAACCCCCCCGCTGCTAGAACTGGAGGGGTGTCCTTGGCCAACTGATTCTTTGTCTGGTTGCTGTTAACTTGGTAGCCCAGTGGCACTCTTTTCCCCCTTTTGTTGTTCAAGGTTCCCTTATAAAATAACCAACCCAAAAAAGGGTGCCCTTACTGCAATATGGTCACTGGGCTACCAAGTTAAGGAACTTCAGGTAAGACTGTATGGATAGATGGTACTTCATACGGGGGGGGGCTTCATTTTCTCATGGTAGCTGAAAAAACACGTTCCTTTGTAGCAACCATCTTATTCGTGCCACGCTCCGGCACCCAGTTGTGTCCTGAAGGCATGGCGCGTAGAGGGTGTCATACAGGATCCTTGTGCAAACAGGGTAAGCCGGGTAAACCTAATGCATCATTAGGTGCTGAGTAGGCAGTTAACTTCTTGGGTATCATCATCCCGCCAAAGGTTTTCCCATCTTTTCACTGGTGATCTGAGCCCCTAAGACTATTCCAAATCTGTCCACATAAATCTGCGGGGAAGTAGCGTCCCAATTGGCATTCGGCATTCGGGCACCGTGAGGTCGTGCAAGGGAGTTGTTTCGCCTGGGCGCCCAACACGAAGCGGATTCGCTTTCAGGGATGAATCTGCGAAGTGGTTTTCGCACCAGGTTTGAGGGTGTAGGGCGAGAAGACTTAAACACCAAGTTGCTCAACCCTAAACCCTAAACCCTAATTTGCTCACCAGTTTCTTCAGAAACAACGGGGTGTCGGTCGTGCCTTCGGCTCGGCAGCCATTTCGCTGAACATGCCCCAAAATCTGCCTTGGGCATCAGGCCTTGCAATGGAGACCACAACAAGCACCACAACCAATGAGAGGAATGATCATGATTACCGCCCCCCCCCCCCCCCCCCCAGCTCCCAACTCCCAATGCTGAGGGCTCTGTCTGTCTCTGTGTGTGTGTTCGGCTTAGTCACGCACATGTCTGCTCTGAGCGCCTTGCAGTTTTCCCCCTCCGCCCTCCAATCCTTCTTAAGCCCTAAACTTGTAAACCCTAAACCCTAAATCCTAAACCCTTACAAGCCCAACGCAGACGACGGCTGGGCAGCTGCAGGGTGTGCCAGCCATGTACAGCGTCCAGTGAAGGACCTGCAGCTTCGGAGCTCGCACGGAAGCGCAAGCAACCCTAGGGTTTAGGGTTTAGGGTTTAGGGTTTAGGGTTTAGGGTTTAGGGTTTAGGGTTTAGGGTTTAGGGTGAAAGGAACCCGGAGATTGGGGGTCATATACCCTAGACTTGTAGAATTCCTACTACGGTATGGACAACAATCAACTGGCAGTAAACCCTAAATAAACCCTAAACCCTAAACCCTAAATAATGTGGCTGCAGCTTGTTAAGAACCGACGATGCTGCGCCCACAAGTAATCTTAGGGACCTGGGTAGGTAACCTTTAACCAAGTTTCGTTACCTCGAATCTTACCATATATATATATATATATGGTACCCCCCCCCCCCCCCCAAAGATCTAGGTATTTTCCTGGTTTTGGGATCTGTTTTAGGGTTTTAGGGTTGGGGGTGGGGGGCTAGCTAAACATGGAAATCTCAATATGGACATGTAAATCTTGATATGTGCGAGTCTTCATATGTGCGTGGTCGTATTTTCAAATTGTGAGCCCGATTGAAAACGATTGAAACGATTGAAATTCAATCGGGGGCCCGATTGAAAAACGATTGAAACGATTGAAATTCAATCGGAGACCGGATTGAAGATTGAAGATTGAAGATTCCCGGAAAGCTTTTTTCTGGGAATCTTCAATCTTCAATCTTCAATCCGGCCCCCGATTGAATTTCAATCGTTTCAATCGTTTTTCAATCGGGCCCCCGATTGAATTTCAATCGTTTCAATCGTTTTTCAATCGGGTTCACGTCTTGTAAAGTGTCAGAATTAGCTTTCGTGACGTCGCTCAAGATCACGTGTCTTCGCAGACATTCCACTCGAAATATACTTGACCATTTGTGTTTGTAATACTCGCAATGGCTCGCATCCCAGTGGCTGGCTCAGTCTTATGGTTTTTATTGGTTTTTGCGGTGTTTCGGGAGCGTGGGTCCCACGCTAAAAATCGGTTTTACCGATGTTTTTGAAAGCCTACCTTCAAAATAACATCGGTAAAACCAATGTTTTTGAAAGCCTACCTTCAAAAAACATAGGTAAAACCAATGTTATTGAAGGACTACCTCTAAAAAACATCAGTAAAATCGATGTTTCGTGAGCCCATGCTCCCAAAACATCGCAAAAAAACAATAAAAAAAAAACATGTCAGAAACCATGATTTTCGAAACTAGTGGCTGGGGTGGCCGGCCGAGTAGTTTCAGCAACCATAGTTTTTATGTTTCTTATTGGTTTTTGCGGTGTTTCGGGATCGTGGGCTAAACCTTTAAGCCCTGTAGGCTATACGGTTAAGGTTTAAAGGTTTAGGGTTGAAAAGTTCAACAGTCAGCCCATAGAGTTTAAACCTTAAGGGTCCTAAACGCTTAACCTTTAAACCCTATAGGCCATAGGGTTAAGGTTGAAAGGCTTAGGGTTTAAGATTTTGGCATTAAAACACAAGCCCATAGAGCTTAAGCCTTAAGGGTTTAAGGTTTCAGCATTGAAACGATAACCCTAAGCCCTTTAGGGTCAGAACCTTGAAGCCCTGTAGGGCTCTAAAACGTTAACAGGGTTTAACCCTATAGGCGTTGAATGTATAAATGCCCAGACATTACGCTCTCTTTAACCTTTCAGCCCTATAGGGTCTAAAGGCTTAGGGTATTTCTTAAGCCCTGAGGGTTTAAAACCTTAAGCCCTCAAGGTGGGCTTGGGTTTAAATGCCTAAATCTTGAATCCTAAACCTTTAAACCTTAACCCTATAGCCTATAGGGTTTAAAGGTTAAGCGTTTAGGCCCCTTAGGGTCTGAACTCTATAGGCTTACTTTTAAAACCTAAACCCTTAAACCTTGACCCTATAGCCTATAGGGTCTAAAGGTTAAGCGTTTAGGCCCCTTAAGGTTAAGGGTCCTAAACGCTTAACCTTTAAACCCTATAGGCCATAGGGTTAAGGTTGAAAGGCTTAGGGTTTAAGATTTTGGCATTAAAACACAAGCCCATAGAGCTTAAACCTTAAGGGGGGTCCAAAGGCTTAGGGTATTTCTTAAGCCCTGAGGGTTTAAAACCCTAAACCCTTAAGGTGGGCTTGGGTTTAAATGCCTAAATCTTGAATCCTAAACCTTTAAACCTTAACCCTATAGCCTATAGGGTTTAAAGGTTAAGCGTTTAGGCCCCTTAGGGTCTGAACTCTATAGGCTTACTTTTAAAACCTAAACCCTTAAACCTTGACCCTATAGCCTATAGGGTCTAAAGGTTAAGCGTTTAGGCCCCTTAAGGTTAAGGGTCCTAAACGCTTAACCTTTAAACCCTATAGGCCATAGGGTTAAGGTTGAAAGGCTTAGGGTTTAAGATTTTGGCATTAAAACACAAGCCCATAGAGCTTAAACCTTAAGGGGGGTCCAAAGGCTTAGGGTATTTCTTAAGCCCTGAGGGTTTAAAACCTTAAACCCTTAAGGTGGGCTTGGGTTTAAATGCCTAAATCTTGAATCCTAAACCTTTAAACCTTAACCCTATAGCCTATAGGGTTTAAAGGTTAAGCGTTTAGGCCCCTTAGGGTCTGAACTCTATAGGCTTACTTTTAAAACCTAAACCCTTAAACCTTGACCCTATAGCCTATAGGGTCTAAAGGTTAAGCGTTTAGGCCCCTTAAGGTTAAGGGTCCTAAACGCTTAACCTTTAAACCCTATAGGCCATAGGGTTAAGGTTGAAAGGCTTAGGGTTTAAGATTTTGGCATTAAAACACAAGCCCATAGAGCTTAAACCTTAAGGGGGGTCCAAAGGCTTAGGGTATTTCTTAAGCCCTGAGGGTTTAAAACCTTAAACCCTTAAGGTGGGCTTGGGTTTAAATGCCTAAATCTTGAATCCTAAACCTTTAAACCTTAACCCTATAGCCTATAGGGTTTAAAGGTTAAGCGTTTAGGCCCCTTAGGGTCTGAACTCTATAGACTTACTTTTAAAACCAAAACCCTTCAACCTTGACCCTATAGCCTATAGGGTCTAAAGGTTAAGCGTTTAGGCCCCTTAAGGC